CAAGTTAACATTGTATACCTTTATGTACTTTTACTTGTAAGAAATGTTTTTAGAAATGTGACTCAAAATTTGTTGAGTTAGCTATTGTGGTTACAGAAGAAACACACACACACACACACACACACACACACACACACACACACACACACACACACACACACACACACACACACACACACACACACACACACACACAACCACAACTACAACTACAACCACAACCAATTTCTAGAAGACTGGACTGCATGAAATTCCGTACACTTGCACGGAGTCTTTTATTCCTTATTAATAAACATATTGTTTTGGTCCGGGGGATTAGACAGAACACACATGCAGAAACGTTCAGCACCAAGGATAGTGAAATACCCATTAAAAACCTTGCAACAAGTAATGAATGAGATTAGTGATGCATCAACAAATCACACATGTATAACAGGTTCATAACAAGACATACAAAAGTTTTAAATGTTTCTCTTTCTACTAAATCTGAAGACTATTTCTTTGTCAGTTAGTAGTCACCATGCGACATGGCATAACGCTTTTTTAAAACTACTGGAAATAAAACTGCAGCTATTCCCAATCAGTCGACGCCAGTGTAGTATAATAACATGCCTGAGCACATAATGTTAACATGTTCTTACCTTATCTTTATTAGGTAAAGTCTGAGTCCTGGTAAAAGTGTCTTCTCCATTAATACTGATCAACTCCGCATCTACAGGCGGAAACGGTGCGGGGAAAACCACTACGTCACTCTTGAGCGTGTCTGAGCTGAAACAGACGTCATACTGCTGAGTAGCTTTAGAGTAAGACCAGCTCCCATCAGGGTGGGTGGTGATCATTGGGGCGCTGTACCTGCTGAAACTGCCGTCTGTCCTGTGGCATTTGACAGCTATTAAACTGATGAGGCTCAGCAGAAAAATCACTGAAACCGAAACAATGGCAATCAGCAGATACAGGTTTAAATCAGAGAAGCTGTCCTCCTTTATGGGCACATGTCTGAACTGAGTCTGGATATCAGATGTGCTTTCAACCACCACCACCTCAATAGACACAGTAGCTGACAGGGAGGGTTCTCCGTTATCAGAAACCAAGACCACCAAGGGGTGAGTTTTCAGGTCATTGTCACTCATTCTCCTCTTAGTCCTGATTTCTCCGGTGCTGGTTCCGATCCTGAAGAGGTTGTTTCCTTTGGGCTCAGAGAGGTGATAAGAAAGCAGCGCATTGTATCCAGAGTCTGCGTCTACAGCCCTGATCTTTGCCACAAAGTATCCCGCTTCAGCAGAGTAGGGGATGCTCTCACTGTTAACGGAGCCGTGCTCAGAATAGGGCGCGAGAATCGAGGGACTGTTGTCATTCTCATCCAGGATAAAAACGTTTACAGTCACGTTGTTGCTGAGTGGAGGAACACCAGAGTCTGTGGCCTGAACTTTAAACAGAAAAGTTTTTAACTCCTCGAAGTTAAAGGCCTGCAGGCTGACTATATCTCCAGTCTCTGAGTTGATGTTTACCATTGTCGAGAGAGGTACTGAGTTGTTGTTGTTATGTATAAATGAATATCTCACTTGACCATTTTGATCAGTGTCAGCATCAACTGCAGTCACTGTCTTAATAACAGATCCTACCGGACTATTCTCTTTCACATAAACATTAACCAGCGGTTCCGAGAAGCGAGGTGGGTTATCATTGACATCAGAAACATGAACAGTAACTATGTTGGTGCTGGAGAGAGGTGGAGTCCCTCCATCAGTTGCTACAATAGTAACATTGTACTGAGCCTTAGTCTCTCTATCAAGCGGACCATTAACTACTAATGAGTAATAATTTTTATAATTTGTGTCCAGTTTAAATGGTGCATCATTTGCAATTACAGCTTTCATTGCCCCGTTTTTACCACTATCTTTGTCCTGTACAGAAACAAGTGCAATGGCAGTACCTGCTTCAGCGTCCTCCCTCACTGTATTTACTAGTGACGTCACAGTGATCTCAGGAGCGTTGTCGTTCAGGTCCACCACTTCTACCAGCACTTTACAATGAGCAGACATTGGAGGCTGGCCTTTGTCACTGGCCTGTGCATGAATCTCAAACGCTGCATTTTCCTCATAGTCGATCTCACCTTTGACTAAAATTGCAGCTGTTTTAGAGTCTATTTGAAATAAATCTAAAACTTGATCCTGACCTTTACTTCTCAATGAATATTCTATTTCACTGTTTAAACCCTCATCTGCGTCTGTCGCATTCAGAATGATTACTCTAGACCCCGTTGGCAAGTTTTCCGGAATTCGAATTTTGTATAACGATTCACTGAAAACGGGGGTATTGTCGTTAATATCTAAAACGTTGATAATAATTTGTGATGTTCCTGACTTCGTTGGATTTCCTCCGTCTACTGCAGTTAGTGTGAGTTTTATAACAGAGTCATGCTCGCGGTCTAAAGCTTTCTGCAGTACTAACTCGGCAGACACGCTATCCCCTCTTTTGTGAATTTCCAAAGAAAAATAATCATTACTACTAAGCTTGTATGAATTCACACCGTTCTTGCCTACATCCAAATCCGATGCCCCTACCAGTCCAAATTTAAGGCCTGGAAAAGAACTTTCTGCAATGTCAAGTGATTGTAAATCCTCAGAGAAATGCGGTGCATTGTCATTTATATCGACTACATTTATCTCTAAACGATAAAGCTTCAGTGGCTTGTCGATCATGGCCTCTACATTGACAGTGCATTTTGGAGCCTTCGCACAGAGCTCCTCACGGTCTATTCTGTCATTTACATAAAGAACACCCGTTTTCAGATTAACGTCGAAATATTTTCTTTTTGATCCATGAATAATCTGAAACATACGAGACTCTAACTCCTGGACATTGAGGTTTAGGTCCTTGGCAATATTTCCAACATACGTCCCCGGGTTTACCTCCTCTGAAACAGAATACGAGAGCTGTCCAGACACCGCTTCCCAGCAATAATTCAGCAGCACGACCACAAAATAAATCCGAAAAAGGTTCGTGTTGCCTGAGAAATGCATAGTTATATCCAATACGAAAAATGCAGATATCCAAGTCTGGCCACTCTTCGTCAAACAGTCATATTAGAGGCCAGCATTGTTACTGATCCTTTCTCTCTCTCGCCCTCCGTCTCTTTGTAACAAAGCCCAAAGAAACATCTTCATCCTCTATTTCTGGGAGGAGCCTTGTGCCTTCCTAAATAATGTCCAGATGTCATGGTCTACAGTGTCCCCGTGTGGTGATGCAAAATAATTGCTTACAGCCTCTGATTGACAAAGGAATAACTGACCAACTGCAAAGTGAGCAATTTCCTAATAACAAACCGAATTGTGTTCAGTTATATCCAACAACCAAATGAACAAAATTCGACACAATAGTCTGCTCTGTCTCATTCTAGTGTTTTTTGAATGTTATTTTTATCTTATCCCTAACAATAGACCTTTACATTTTACTGATGTAACGGCTACAAAGCTTCACAATGTTAAAACATGGCGTCCATTACAAATAAAACATTACAAGACACTAAAGATAAAGAGGGAGGTGAAACTGTTGGTTGCGAATAGAAATAAGTTTTTTTCAAAAGGGAAAAACGAATGAAATGAAGAGAATGAAATAAAGTATCAGATTATTTTCTTTAAATTTGATAAAAACGAAGTTTCCATAATTAATTAGTGAATGAATACCCTAATATTTTTATACAATACAAATAGATGTGCCAGGAAAAGACACTACTTCTTTATAAAGGGTAGACAGTTTTCTGCGTTACACTAAGAAGACCGCACACAGCACATTGCGGTGTTTATTTCAGAACCTTGGACAACGACATACACACTCTGCATAGTGTTAGAGGCTTATGAACTTCAGATAGGCTAGTGTCATTACTCTGGCATATTTAGGATTAAAAAAAAAAAGTCAAAAATGTTGTCTATAAATATAATGTGGAAAGTTATTTCACTTCATAAGCGAAAAAAAAAACGTCGGGGAATTCTTTCGGCCTAAAATCATATACATTGAGGCATATTGCTTTTTAATCATTTTCTTACCTTTTCTTTGTTTGGTAAAGTTTGAGTCCTGGTAAAAGTGTCTCCTCCGTTAATACTGATTAGCTCTGCATCCACAGGTGGAAACGGTGCGGGGAAAACAACCACGTCACTCTTGAGCGTGTCTGAGCTGAAACAGACGTCATACTGCTGAGTAGCTTTAGAGTAAGACCAGCTCCCGTCAGGGTGGGTGGTGATCATTGGGGCGCTGTACTTGCTGAAACTGCCGTCTGTCCTGTGACATTTGACAGCTATTAAACTGATGAGGCTCAGCAGAAAGATCACTGAAACCGACGCAATGGCAATCAGCAGATACAGGTTTAAATCAGAGAAGCTGCCCTCCTTTATGGGCACATGTCTGAACTGAGTCTGTATGTCAGCTGTGCTTTCAACCACCACCACCTCAATAGACACAGTAGCTGACAGGGAGGGTTCTCCGTTATCAGAGACCAAGACCACCAAGGGGTGAGTTTTCAGGTCATTGTCACTCATTCTCCTCTTAGTCCTGATTTCCCCGGAGCTGGTTCCGATCCTGAAGAGGTTGTTTCCTTTGGGCTCAGAGAGGTGATAAGAAAGCAGCGCATTGTATCCAGAGTCTGCGTCTACAGCCCTGATCTTTGCCACAAAGTATCCCGCTTCAGCAGAGTAGGGGATGCTCTCGCTGTTAACGGAGCCGTGCTCAGAATAGGGCGCGAGAATCGAGGGACTGTTGTCATTCTCATCCAGGATAAAAACGTTTACAGTCACGTTGCTGCTGAGCGGAGGAACAACAGAGTCTGTGGCCTGAACTTTAAACTGAAAAGTTTTTAACTCCTCGAAGTTAAAGGCCTGCAGGCTGACTATATCTCCAGTCTCTGAGTTAATGTTTACCATTGTCGAGAGAGGCACTGAGTTACTGTTGTCATGTATAAATGAATATCTCACTTGACCATTTTGATCAGTGTCAGCATCAACTGCAGTCACTGTCTTAATAACAGATCCTACTGGACTATTCTCTTTAACATAAACATTAATCAGCGGCTCCGAGAAGCGAGGTGGGTTATCATTGACATCAGAAACATGAACAGTAACTATGTTGGTGCTGGAGCGAGGTGGAGTCCCTTCATCAGTTGCTACAATAGTAACATTGTATTGAGCCTTAGTCTCTCTATCAAGCGGACCATTAACTACTAATGAGTAATAATTTTTATAATTTGTGTCCAGTTTAAATGGTGCATCATTTGCAATTACAGCTTTCATTGCCCCGTTTTTACCACTATCTTTGTCCTGTACAGAAACAAGTGCAATGGCAGTACCTGCCTCAGCGTCCTCCCTCACTGTATTTACCAGTGACGTCACAGTTATCTCAGGAGCGTTGTCGTTCAGGTCCACCACTTCTACCAGCACTTTACAATGAGCAGACATTGGAGGCTGGCCTTTGTCACTGGCCTGTGCCCGAATCTCAAACGCTGCATTTTCCTCATAGTCGATCTCACCTTTGACTAAAATTACACCTGTTTTAGAATCTATTTGAAATAAATCTAAAACCTGATCCTGACCTTTACTTCTCAATGAATATTCTATTTCACTGTTTAAACCCTCATCTGCGTCTGTTGCATTCAGAATGATTACTCTAGACCCTGTTGGCAAATTTTCCGGAATTTTAATTTTATATAACGATTCACTGAAAACGGGGATATTGTCGTTGTTGTCTAAAACATTTACAATAATTTGGGATGTCCCTGACTTCGGTGGATTTCCTCCGTCTACTGCAGTAAGTGTGAGTTTTATAACAGAGTCATGCTCGCGGTCTAAAGCTTTCTGCAGTACTAACTCCGCAGACACGCTATCCCCTCCTTTGTGAATTTCCAAAGAAAAATAATCATTACTACTAAGCTTGTATGTATTCACACCGTTCTTGCCTACATCCAAATCCGATGCCTCTACCAGTCCAAATTTGAGTCCTGGAAAAGAACTTTCTGCAATGTCAAGTGATTGTAAATCCTCAGAGAAATGTGGGGCATTATCATTTATATCGACTACATTTATCTCTAAACGATACAGCTTCAGTGGATTGTTGATCACGGCCTCTACATTGACAGTGCATTTTGGAGCCTTCGCACAGAGCTCCTCACGGTCTATTCTGTCATTTACATAAAGAACACCCGTTTTCAGATTTACGTCGAAATATTTTCTTTTTGATCCACTTACAATGTGAAACATACGAGACTGTAACTCCTGGACATTGAGGTTTAGGTCCTTGACGATATTTCCAACAGACGTCCCCGGGTTTACCTCCTCTGAAACAGAATACGAGAGCTGTCCAGACACCGCTTCCCAGCAATAATTCAACAGCACGACCACAAGATAATAACGAAAAAGGTTCGTTTTGCCTGAGAAATACATAATTATATCCAATACGAAAAATGTAGATATCCAAGTCTGGCCACTCTTCGTCAAACAGTCATATTAGAGGCCAGCATTGTTACTGATCCTTTTCTCTCCTTCTCGCCCTCCGTCTCTTTGTAACAAAGCCCAAAGAAACATCTTCATCCTCTATTTCTGGGAGGAGCCTTGTGCCTTCCTAAATAATGTCCAGATGTCATGGTCTACAGTGTCCCCGTGTGGTGATGCAAAGTAATTGCTTACAGCCTCTGATTGACAAAGGAATAACTGACCAACTGTGCAAAGTGAGCAATTTCCTAAAAACAACCCGAATTGTGTTCAGTTATATCCAACAACCAAATAAACTAAATTCGACACAATAGTCTGCTCTGTCTCATTCTAGTGTTTTTTAAATGTTGTTATTATTTTATCCATAAAAATAGACATTTACATTTTTTGTGATATAACGGCTACAAAGCATCACAATTTTAAAACATGGCGTCCATTACAAATAAAACATTACAAGACACTAAAGATAAAGAGGGAGGTGAAACTGTTGGTTGCGAATAGAAATAAGTTTTTTCAAAAGGGAAAAACGAATGAAATGAAGAGATTGAAATAAAGTATCAGATTATTTTCTTTAAATGTGATAAAAACGAAGTTTCCATAATTAATTAGTGAATGAATACCCTAATATTTTTATACAATACAAATAGATGTGCCAGGAAAAGACACTACTTCTTTTATAAAGGATAGACAGTTTTCCGCGTTACACTAAGAAGACCGCACACAGCACATCGCGGTGTTTATTTCAGCACCTTGGACAACGACATACACACTCTGCATAGTGTGAGAGGCTTATAAACTTCAGATAGGCTAGTGTCATTACTCTGGCTGATGTGCGATTAAAAAAAACCCAAAGTCAAAAATGATGTCTCTAAATACAATGTGGAAAGTTATTTCACTTCATAAGCGATAAAAAAAACGTCGGGAATGCTTTCGGCCCTAGAATCATATACATTGAGGCATATTGCTTTTTAATCATTTTCTTACCTTTTCTTTATTAGGTAAGGTCTGAGTCCTGGTAAAAGTGTCTCCTCCGTTAATACTGATCAGCTCTGCATCCACAGGTGGAAACGGTGCGGGGAAAACCACTACGTCACTCTTGAGCGTGTCTGAGCTGAAACAGACGTCATACTGCTGAGTAGCCTTAGAGTAAGACCAGCTTCCGTCAGGGTGGGTGGTGATCATTGGGGCGCTGTACCTGCTGAAACTGCTGTCTGTCCTGTGGCATTTGACAGCTATTAAACTGATGAGACTCAGCAGAAAGATCACTGAAACCGACGCAATGGCAATCAGCAGATACAGGTTTAAATCAGAGAAGCTGTCCTCTTTTATGGGCACATGTCTGAACTGAGTCTGGATTTCAGCTGTGCTTTCAACCACCACCACCTCAATAGACACAGTAGCTGACAGGGAGGGTTCTCCGTTATCAGAGACCAAGACCATCAAGGGGTGAGTTTTCAGGTCATTGTCACTCATTCTCCTCTTTGTCCTTATTTCCCCGGAGCTGGTTCCGATCCTGAAGAGGTTGTTTCCCTTGGGCTCAGAGAGGTGATAAGAAAGCAGCGCATTGTATCCAGAGTCTGCGTCTACAGCCCTGATCTTTGCCACAAAGTATCCCGCTTCAGCAGAGTAGGGGATGCTCTCACTGTTAACGGAACTGTGCTCAGAATAGGGCGCGAGAATCGAGGGACTGTTGTCATTCTCATCCAGGATAAAAACGTTCACAGTNTCGAGGGACTGTTGTCATTCTCATCCAGGATAAAAACGTTTACAGTCACGTTGTTGCTGAGTGGAGGAACACCAGAGTCTGTGGCCTGAACTTTAAACAGAAAAGTTTTTAACTCCTCGAAGTTAAAGGCCTGCAGGCTGACTATATCTCCAGTCTCTGAGTTGATGTTTACCATTGTCGAGAGAGGTACTGAGTTGCTGTTGTTATGTATAAATGAATATCTCACTTGACCATTTTGATCAGTGTCAGCATCAACTGCAGTCACTGTCTTAATAACAGATCCCACTGGACTATTCTCTTTCACATAAACATTAACCAGCGGCTCCGAGAAGCGAGGTGGGTTATCATTGACATCAGAAACATGAACAGTAACTATGTTGGTGCTGGAGAGAGGTGGAGTCCCTTCATCAGTTGCTACAATAGTAACATTGTACTGAGCCTTAGTCTCTCTATCAAGCGGACCATTAACTACTAATGAGTAATAATTTTTATAATTTGTGTCCAGTTTAAATGGTGCATCATTTGCAATTACAGCTTTCATTGCCCCGTTTTTACCACTATCTTTGTCCAGTACAGAAACAAGTGCAATAGCAGTACCTGCCTCAGCGTCCTCCCTCACTGTATTTACCAGTGACGTCACAGTGATCTCAGGAGCGTTGTCGTTCAGGTCCACCACTTCTACCAGCACTTTACAATCGGCTGACATCGGAGGCTGGCCTTTGTCACTGGCCTGTGCATGAATCTCAAACGCTGCATTTTCCTCATAGTCGATATCACCTTTGACTAAAATTGCACCTGTTTTAGAGTCTATTTGAAATAAATCTAAAACCTGCTCCTGACCTTTACTTCTCAATGAATATTCTATTTCACTGTTTAAACCCTCATCTGCGTCTGTCCCATTCAAAACTACAACAGTTTTACCTACTGCTATGTTCTCCAAAATGCGTGCCTTGTATAAGGGTTGGCTGAAAATAGGAGCATTGTCGTTATTGTCTAAAACATTTATACGAATTTGGGATGTCCCTGACTTCGGTGGATTTCCTCCGTCGACCGCGGTCACTGTGAGTTTTATTGTAGGTTGTGTTTCTCGGTCTAAAGCTTTCTGAAGCACAAGCTTGGCAGACACACTCTCCCCACCCCTGTGAATCTCTAAAGAAAAATAATCATTTGGATTTAGCTTATACGTACTAACACTATTCTTACCAACGTCGAGATCTGATGCTCCAATAAATCCAAATTTCCCCCCTGGCACTGTACTTTCAGCAATGTTAAGAGTCTGCGAATTCTCAGAGAAATCCGGTGCATTATCATTTATATCGACTACATTTATCTCCAAACGATACAGCTTCAGTGGATTGTTGATCACTGCCTCTACATTAACGGTGCATTTTGTAGCCTTCGCACAGAGCTCCTCGCGGTCTATTCGGTCATTTACATAAAGGACACCCGTTTTCAGATTTACTTCGAAATATTTTCTCTTTGATCCACTTACAATCTGGAACATACGTGCCTCTAAATCGTGAACATTAAGATTTAGATCTTTGGCGAGATTTCCCACAGACGTCCCTGGGTTTACCTCCTCTGATACAGAGTAAGAGAGCTGCCCAGACACCGCTTCCCAGCAACAATCCAACAGAACAACGACTACATAAATTCCTAAATGGCTGCATATCCTCCGTGTCGACATATTTATATCAAACGTAAGTAGAGCATATGGATTCCAGTCTCCAAAATCCCATCGAATTATTCAGAATAAAAGCAAAATGGCAGAATCCAGATTCTTGCTCTTTGTAGGGCTAATGGACAAAATGATGGCAACACAATCCACTCTCGCCCTGCGTCTCTTTGTAACAAAGCCCAGAGAAACATCATCATCCTCTGATTCTGGGAGGAGCCTCAAGCAACCACGAGGAGCATCAAAATGTGATAGTCTACAATGTCCCCATGTGGTTTTTTGTAATAACTACACTCACAAAAAAAAACAGAAAAATAACCGTCTGAACTTCCAAGTCAACAAACAGCTCACAAGAAATCACAAATCACAAGACACACTTATTGCCTTATTTACTTATTCACAGCAGCTTGTTAATAGAAGATAGAGATATAGATAGAGATAGAAAAAAATTAAAATACTAATGAACAACACTGTCTTTCTCTATTTCCATTTGAGTTTCTAAATTAAGGTAATGTAACTATTCAAACACAGACGTTCTCCAAGTGTGATGAAATCCGGTATACATCATGCATCAATAAATATAAATGACTGTAAGAAAACCCGAGAGAAAATGCCGGGTAACACCAGGAAAAACCACTATGCACTAGATGAAATGTCACTTTCACATCCTCCATACCTCTCACACCACCTCACACTTTGGTGCTTATTTCAGCACCATGGACAACGACGTACATGTCGTTGTGGCGCTCTCGAAAGGGTGACTAGGAGGCGTACTGTTTGTTAACACATCACACAAAACAAATGTAAAAGCTTTTCATTTCACTTCATCAATAAAAAAAAGGAACAAAGAATCACACGTTCACAGCCACAACCCGAAATGTAAAATCTCGTGTTGCTTTTTCATAGTTTCTTACCTTTTCTTTATTAGGTAAAGTCTGAGTCCTGGTAAAAGTGTCTCCTCCGTTAATACTGATCAGCTCCGCATCCACAGGTGGAAACGGCGCGGGGAAAACCACTACGTCACTCTTGAGTGTGTCTGAGCTGAAACAGACGTCATACTGCTGAGTAGCTTTAGAGTAAGACCAGCTGCCGTCAGGGTGGGTGGTGATCATTGGGGCGCTGTACCTGCTGAAACTGCCGTCTGTCCTGTGGCATTTGACAGCTATTAAACTGATGAGGCTCAGCAGAAAAATCACTGACACCGACACAATGGCGATCAGCAGATACAGGTTTAAATCAGAGAAGCTGTCCTCCTTTATGGGCACATGTCGGAACTGAGTCTGGATGTCAGCTGTGCTTTCAACCACCACCACCTCAATAGACACAGTAGCTGACATGGAGGGTTCTCCGTTATCAGAGACCAAAACCACCAAGGAGTGAGTTTTCAGGTCATTGTCACTCATTCTCCTTTTAGTCCTGATTTCCCCGTTGCTGGTTCCGATCCTGAAGAGGTTGTTTCCTTTGGGTTCAGAGAGGTGATAAGAAAGCAGCGCATTGTATCCAGAGTCTGCGTCTACAGCCCTGATCTTTGCCACAAAGTATCCCGCTTCAGCAGAGTAGGGGATGCTCTCACTGTTAACGGAGCCGTGCTCAGAATAGGGCGCGAGAATCGAGGGACTGTTGTCATTCTCATCCAGGATAAAAACGTTTACAGTCACGTTGCTGCTGAGCGGAGGAACACCAGAGTCTGTGGCCTGAACTTTAAACTGAAAAGTTTTTAACTCCTCGAAGTCAAAAGATTGCAGGCTGACTATATCTCCAGTCTCTGAGTTGATGTTTACCATTGCAGATAATGGCAATGTGTCACTACTACTTTGAATAAATGAATATCTCACCTGGCTGTTCTGGTCAACGTCAGGATCGGTTGCAGTCACTCTTCTAATAACTGCTCCTACTGGACTGTTCTCATTCACGTATACATTAATTAGGGGCTCTGGGAACCGAGGTGCGTTATCATTGACGTCAGAAACGTGTATAGAAACTACAGTCGTGCTGGAGAGTGGGCTGGCTCCTATATCAGTGGCCACAATGGTGACGTTGTAGTTAGAGACACTCTCTCTGTCTAGGGCCCCGCCAACTAACAAAGAATAATAGTTTTTGTAGTTTGTTTCAAGTTTCAGTGGAACCTCATTTTTTATTTGTATTTTCACCTCACCGTTTTTTCCACCATCTTTATCAAGGACTGACACAAGTGCAACTACAGTACCTAGACTAGCGTCCTCTCTCACGTTGTTGTGCAATGAGGTGACAGTGATCTCAGGAGCGTTATCATTTAGGTCCACCACTTCTACCAGCACTTTACAGTGAGCAGACATCGGAGGCTGGCCTTTGTCACTGGCCTCTACACGTATCTCAAAAGCCTTTTTTTCTTCATAGTCTATATTTCCTTTTACTTTAATCGCGCCTGTTTGACTGTTAATTTCAAAAATATCAAGTACATGATCTTGATCCTTGCTCCTCAACGAATACACAACCTCACTGTTCAGACCCTCATCTGAATCGGTGGCATTCACAGCGATGACTGTTGTACCCAGGGGCGTGTTTTCCGGAATTTTTGTCTTATACAACGTTTCGCTGAATATCGGAATGTTATCATTGTTGTCTAAAACATTAATAATGATCTGTGAGGTGCCTGATTTCGGTGGACTCCCTCCATCTATAGCGGTCAGTGTCATGGTGATCACAGGCTGCTTCTCTCGGTCTAAGGATTTCTGCAGCACTAACTCAGCAGACACACTGTCCCCTGCCTTGTGCACTGCCAAAGAGAAATGTTCATTTTGACTTAATTTATAAGTACTGACTCCGTTTCTCCCGACGTCTGCATCACTTGCTTCAGATAATGCGAATTTCACTCCTGGTAAAGTACTCTCTGCTATGTACAAATTTTGCAATTTAGTTGTAAACAATGGGGCATTGTCATTTACATCTAAAATGTCCACGTTAATACGATAAAGCTTCAAAGGGTTATTTATCACAGCTTCTACACTTACTGAGCATTTAAGTTCCTCTGCACAGAGCTCCTCTCTGTCTATCCTCTCGCTCACATACAGAACACCAGTCTTGAGATTTACCTCAAAGAATTTTCTTTTTGATCCAGTAACAATCTGAAACATACGGGATTCCAAGTCTTGTGAATTAAGATTTAGGTCCTTAGCTATATTTCCAACAGGACTCCCTGGGTTTAGCTCTTCTGAGATGGAATAGGAAAGCTGCCCAGACACCGTTTCCCAAAAACAATCCAGAAGAAAAAGCCCTAGATATATCCCGAAATAGCTCCATCTACAAGGCAAAGCCATGATTCTGTCCAACATGAACAAAGAAGGAATATCACGGCCAGATGTTTTAGGCAGTATGAAAGACACCAGCCGAGTTGAGCCTTGAATATGGTTGGAAAATTCTGTTTGTTCCACCGTCCTCTGTCTCTTTATAACAAAGACTGAGGAAACGTCCCTGCCGCCTGAAAACAGGAGGGGCTTAGTTGGTTCAGAGAGTAGCGCTGACTCTGATGGATCAACAGCGACGCCACGTGGTAAATGAGGTAATATACAAAGAGCAGTGTACATATATGTTGCATTTTAGGCACCCATTCTCTCTCTCTCTCACACACACGCACGCGCGAACACAACTGCAGCTGAATGGCCTAACAAAAGAGAGCAAGAAAACAAGGCATCATTTCAGCACCTCGGACAGCACACTAGAGTATGTCAAGTGCAAAGCCTATTCTGCTTGAAGTGTGGCGACTGTGTCCAGACTGTTCTTGTATTAAAACATGATGCATCCCCCACCCCCAGCCACCCACTCTCTCTGCAGCTCACTATGCTATCCACTTCTCCACCCCTATCCTTTCCCAATTATTTAATTTAGCCAGTCATTTGTGCTAATTGTGTCCACTATGTCAGTAAAGTTGGTTTCAGTTTTAGTGAAATGATGACATTTGGTTTCCATGGCAACCAAAACTGCATCCAGCCATTTATTTGGATGTCCTGCTCTGAATATAA